GCTGTGCTTCTTTGAGATGTTTACCAAGTGACCCAAAGAGTGACTTCAGCATAGGAGGGTTAAAACAACATGTACGAAGAGACATGACTCTACTTCTAAGTGATACAACCACAGAATCAAGGGCTTCATAAGTGGTCATGTGACTTCATCAAGCTGCATGATTGGCCAGACAGTGTCTGAGAAAAGTATGTTAACTTGTGGATATTGTCCACTGCAGATATGTAGCACTTAGTACTTTCAAATAGCTGAGACATTATACAATCACAAAAAAAACACTTACATGTACATACATGTACAAGTTATATAAATCAGAGTTGAGCTGAAATTTCTTGGGCAATTTTGAAAGTACTAATCGCATTTGGAAACATACCATGGGGTAGATTTAGTGTTAGACATAAATGAAATTTTACTGTTATTAGTAAACCAATTTGTGGCAATCTGCTTGTTTGGGAGAATTTCTCTAAAGCCTTGCAAATTCTCCTTGACGTAATGACAGAGGTTGTGCCTACTTGCCAGAAAAACTCAAAGGACATCCAAGAATAACAGACATGCAGGTAAATCAACTGGCTGGTTTATTACAGTCCATATGCTGCACCCAATACAAATGACTGACCTTAGTAAAGTCGTTAGATGTGACAGACCAGATGAGAGAAACAAAAGTGCCCATCTCAATTTAGTCTTTTCCTAGAGCTTTAGACAATTGTGCACGTCCATCACTTCCCAAAGGAATTCTTGTTAGTTTAAACATGTCCATCTCCCTATACCTTTTTCAAATCTTCATTGAATGCGTATAAAGTCTATGTATCAATTTTAAGAAGGAACAATGTTCCCATTTACCAAGGCACATCCTCAGACTAGGCAATGCAGACCCAGCCATTTGGAGAATTTTATTGTCTTTCCCAAAAAGTATACCAGTTCAGATATTTAACGTTTCATCTTGCCAGTAAATGGCATCATCAAATGATCATGTCTTTAAATCATGAATCATAATTTCAAATATTCTAATCCACGAGCAAATTTTGCTGAATTAGCTCTTTTCTTGCCAAGTGTCTCCCGTCTCCCGTCAGTTAATAAAGTATCAAGCAATTTGACAAGATTAAATATGATCCAGCACTTCAATAATCCTGATAAATCATCTTAACTTGAAAGTAAGTGCCAGAAGTCCATGAGAAATTCCCTGAACAACCACGCTATCATGGCGAGTCGTGATCACATTTGTAATCCTTTCACTGTGTGCATCACGACATTAATCCTAACACTCCTCAGTCCTCCAACAGGTGAAGGATTGAGGAGTGTTAGGGTTAAGGTATCTTACAATGTGTACATGGCTCAAGGAATGAGACATAGCAACATATAATGTTGACAAGTTGAACTTACCTCTGGCTTGGCACGATGTGTGTCTACGGCTTTCACACTGAGAGAGATTGTTTCCACTTTACACCCTGGAAAATTATCATGTATAATTGTACATAGAAGTTAGGACATACATGGCTTCTACACAATTAGCAATGTTACAATCAAGTACTTTATAACTGTCAAATCGCTGGCATTATTGCACTGGATGGGAGACATGACCAAAGACCTGACCTCACACATGCTTACAAAGACTGCTAATATCATTCCATGTCTGAAATTTTATCTTATCTGTAGATATTTTATGCCTTTGAAAATGATTCTGCTAGGATTGAAACATCACATTCTCAAAAGCTTCCTTGTGGTCTAATTTGTCACGTAGATTTCATAGCCCATTATGAGAAAAAAAAATCAAACAAACTGATCCCATGTTAAAGGTTTTCAGGACATTGACAAATTGGTTGATCACTGACCCCACACAACAGAAGATGTGTTCATACTACCTTTGTTTAAGCAAAACCTGAGAAAAACAATAAAATATGTTGTCGGTAACAACTTTGAAAATTAAGTTTTTAGGACTAAAGTTTCCAGACAACCACACTCTTTACTTCATTTTTGGGAGATCACAAAGTGGATGTCAGAACTGCAAAAAAAGGCAAGAAATAATTCAGTACTCAAGATGACAGCAAATAATGTTAATCTTACCATAAGCCACTGGTGTGAGTTTGATGACTGTGTGTAAAGGACATTTCAGATATGGAAGCTCTTCTGTATAGAGGTATGAAAAAAAATAACCAGTTAGGCATTGAAAAGTAGTTTCTAAACTATGTCAAATACACAAGAACTGCTTGTAGCTGTTGATTACAAGTTTTCTCTTTTGTGTTCAAAAACTAATCCTTCCATGAGGCAAGATGCAAGTGCAAGCTTGCATTTTGTTATCTGTCAAATTCCATTTTAAACCTGGCCAACAAAAGCACCACTAGTTTTTAACAAGAATCTAATGGAATGACAAGATTCTTTATAAATGTTTCACTGGAACTGGTACATTACTGATTACAGAATTGAATCTTTATCCATAAACACCATTTACTATAAAAGGAAGCATCACAGATGCATATAATAGAGTACAAAGAAAGTTGAACAAACCAGTATCCTAGCAAGATACGTACATATTCCATGAGAAATTCATGCACTTCACAAATACCATCTCTTGTACATGATTCCATTAGTTTTATTAGTCGTTTTTGTCATCCTCTGGCACTTACCTGAGCTTTTGTCAAGGAAGTACGCAAGGAGACACCGCATAACACCCTGATGGCAAATTACAAGAATGTTCTTCTGTCTCTCCAGCTCCTGTTCAGTACAAAAATTATAAAGTTACTTCCTTCTTTTGTAAATTTAGTGTTTAGCTACCATTAACCACTACATGCCGGGGCATTTTTCAATGTTGATGATGCTGGGCCGGCATACCTACATTTTTTCGTTTTCAAAATCCTTAAAAAATTCATCATTTCTTTTAATGGTCGTTTATAGCCGCACGAAGTAGTCTTTAGGCACTACTGTAAGTTGACANGTATAACTGTCTTTTGTTCATGAACCTGGCTCGGTGCACTGCTGACCTCTTTTCAATAGGGGCCAGATTAGCGTGCAGCGGTGCTGTGTGGCTCATATATGCGGTAGTGGAGCGCTTTTGTTCCCGGTGGTAATCTGCTCGCTCTCAATGCCCCAAACCCTGGTATACGGTCTTTTGTTACAAGTACAGTCTTTTGTTACAAGGCCCAGTTCCCTTTGTCCGATCTCAGAGACCCGGCCAAGTGTATGAAGAATACATGTCTGGTACCGGCAACGCCGGCGGCAAGTGGTTAAGGTAAAAACAATGAAAACCTGACTCACCATGATGACGGGCTCTAATCTTGTGACCAAGTCTTGGTATGACTGCGGAAGATATTCAAAAAGACAGGAATTTATTTTGACTGTGTTACAATTCAGACAAAAAAGAAAATCACACAAGTAAATACCACTTCCTCTGAAGTCTCGTCTCCAATTTCCCCGACCCCATTCAGGGTGTCTCTTACCTCTCCCATAGGGTACCTATAGTGGTATTTGCCCATCCTACCCCACATTATGGCCCCATTCAAGGTATCTCTTACCTCTCCCATGGGGTACTTAAAGTTGTATTTGCCCATCCTACCCCACATCATGGCCCCATTCAAGGTGTCTCTTACCTCTCCCATGGGGTACTTAAAGTTGTATTTGCCCATCCTACCCACATTATGGCCCCATTCAAGGTGTCTCATATCTCTCCCATAGGGTACCTATAGTGGTATTTGCCCATCCTACCCCACATTATGGCCCCATTCAAGGTGTCTCATATCTCTCCCATAGGGTACCTATAGTGGTATTTGCCCATCCTACCCCACATTATGGCCCCATTCAAGGTATCTCTTACCTCTCCCATAGGGTACCTATAGTGGTATTTGCCCATCCTACCCCACATTATGGCCCCATTCAAGGTATCTCTTACCTCTCCCATGGGGTACCTATAGTGGTATTTGTCCTGGTCACGTAATGCAAATTCCTCTGGGTACTTCTCCTGAATTTCATCATACGTCATTCCATCACACACTCCCTATTTATGAAAAGTAAGAAACCTTAGAAACATTCTTGATTAGAGACAGAGTTTCACTATTGGGACACTTCAACAAGTTTCATTTAAACAATGCCAAGGCTATTAACTTAAGTAAACTCAAAATGCATTGTTATCTAGCTACATGTACAAGGATTCTCAAACTTGATATCCCAAACCATTATGTCATTTTTATCCCACTTCTTGTGAAGAGACTTGTAAACTGATTCATGATCAATTCTCGATTGCCTTGAACAGGTTGCACAAGTGATCTGACTATTACACCATACACAAGCTACTCAACCAATGAGTCAAAATTTCAACTGAAAGGTAACCGTTTTCACAACAGCCTCTCAACAAACCCTAGTAAAACACGTCAATACCAGCTTTGTAGACCTACCCCATCAAGCTCATCCAGTGCCTTCCACTGCTCTATTGGTGCATCAGTGCTAGACGCTGTCTGATAGGTACGCTTCAACCTGCTGGTCCATACTTTGAGATTTGACAAATTCTGACCAGACATGTACTTGGCCAAAGCTTTGCTGTACTGCCACCCCCTCTCTGACAGGTCCGAATCTCCACCTATCCTTCCTTGCAGGTTGAGTTGGCTCTCACCATGCTGCATATAGAGAAATTATTCAACACAAATTATTAAATGCGGACAGGAAATCCTATTCAATACTCCTTGCTCCCTAAAAGAAAAGAAAATCAGAAGTGCATAAAACTTCTAACATTCTAACACAGCTCAGTCAATGAAGATGCACTCTCACACTGGTGACACAGAGAAAGACCCGAGTGATATTCTAATCCGAATGGTACCCTGCACCAAGCATTTACCACTGAGGCACACTTCAAGATACACCCAAGCAAGCTTATACACATGATATGCTGCATTGAGAGAGATAACTGCAATATTCAGCAGTTAAGATATCACACTCACCCTTGTTAGGTAAATTGTCCTTGGCATAACATGAATATTCATGAGGTAGTATACAACGCGACTCTGTAGATGACCTAAGAAATGGAAACCAGAATATCATAATCACCAACAGCCAATGATTGAATAGTTCAATGGTTGAACAGGCCAATGGCTGAACAGACTCATGATTGACCAGGCCAATGACTGAAAAGGCCAATGGCTGAACAGACTCATGATTGAACAGGACCATGGCTGAACAAACTCATGATTGAACAGGCCAATGGCTGAACCAGCCAATGGCTAAACAGGTTAATGACTGAAGAGGCCAATGATTGAGCAGGCCAATGGCTGAACCAGCCAATGGCTGAACAGACTCATGATTGAACAGGCCAATGACTGAAAAGGCCAATGGCTGAACAGACTCATGATTGAACAGGCCAATGGCTGAACCAGCCAATGGCTAACCAGGTTAATGACTGAACAGGCCAATGATTGAACAGGCCAATGGCTGAACCAGCCAATGGCTAACCAGGTTAATGACTGAACAGGCCAATGATTGAACAGGGCAATGACTGAACGGGCCAATGCAGTTGAAGCACATCAATGTAGTATTTCAGTAATAAATGCAAACCTATTCAAGAATTTTCCATGAAAAACGTCGTTGATTGCTTAGCCTCTTTGCCCAACTCCCATGAAAACGAGGCAGTTTAGCAAGAGTAGACTACATTTTAAAACAAAATGTTATTACTGACCTCTGACCCTGTTGACCAAGAATCGTTCCCCAACATTGATGATCTTGATGAAGGAAACATCCCTACACAGACAAAATTTAACGTCCATTAAATTTCACACAAATACCTTGGTTCAGGTTGGATGAGTGACTTGCAATCCTACAATTTCATAAAGCCTAGTGTCATCATTGCTATCTTTAAACCTGATGAAAATTCAACGCCTCAAGTAATAAAGTGAATTCTAGCAAGGCTCCCATGGTACTGTGTTGGTTTTTTTTGTGACGTGCTAAAGGGCAGTTTTGAGGAGAAAGATTAGTGAACTAGTCAACATTTCAACCAGCATGCCCTGATTATTTTCAAACAAATGTTTCTTCATTTTCTTTCAGATGATCAAAGGACAACTAAGACAGTCAATGATAATATGGTGCCAACATACACCTTTGGAATATATTCTTAATTAAACCTGAAAGGTCTTTTTTTCACTATAGACTGTCCAAACCGCCAAGTCATGTGACATATAGTGGGTAACAAATATCAACAAACATGGCATCCTCCCATAACGATGTGTGTTTTAACTGTAGTGCACCAAAAACTAAACCGCTTTTCGGCATAGCACTCAGCACATCTGTAGTCCGAGTACTACACCGACCATCAGCTTTATTTTGGGTAAATGACTCTTACGACACACTTTACTAAAGGAGGGCGCCAAGTCTGTTGGTGTTTGATACCCACTAAGGTCACGTGACTTCCTGGGTGCAATCGGTCTTTTAGTGTACAAATATGGGTATGAGCATCCGTGTCTCTTTGGGGGTCCATCCTGTCAGTTATTGCCATTAATATACGGTGGTTTCAGACCCACCCCCCAGTTTCAGACCCACCCCCTGGTTTCAGACCCACCC